CTTATTTTTTATATTTTTATGACAGTATGTTGCACTGAAGCACCGCAGCAATTTCCTAATGTTGTAAACCTGCTCAACATCTGGCAATAAACCCTTTCTGATTTCTGATTTCTAAAAAATACACACGTAATTTTACTGACACATACAACTCTGTCACAAGGTATGAGTGATAAGAGCCCCCATGTCATTTTAGGCACAAAGGCAGAATGACAAAAAGGTTTACCTGATAAGAGTACAGTGTTTAACGTCAACAGCAGAGGGATGTGGGGACGTTAATGACAGAACTTCAAAGTTGTAAAAATAACTCACAGTGAGCTAATGCTGCAGATGGACGAGCTGCTAGAGTGCACGTTACTTCAACTGCATGTTAGAAAACTGCACATGCACAAAAAAAAAAAGGGGAACGTGGGGAAAACATATAGCATGAAGTCAGAGAAACAGCCAGACAACATTCAATTATTATCTGTCTACTCTGTCTATTAGTATCCTATCAAATGAGAATGAAATGAGGACTGGGCTGGTTTCAGTCATTATGCAAATGTACTGTTTATAAGATTAGGGAAACCTGCAGTCAGCTGAGACTGAAGAAGTCACTTCGATGAGTGACGAAATGTTTCTCCCACTGAAAACGCTACGTCCACATGAACAGAATCAACTTTTGGAGACAACCTTGAGATTCAAATTCTCAAGCCAGAGGTCCACTGACACTAACAGAGTCTAACCCTTAGAGGAGGTTTGGCAAAATTATACTTTATTCAGATGGGTGGTTTTCTTGATCATCTTGACATTTCCTAACTACATATAGGATAATGTGCAAACAAGGAAGGGGAATCAATTAGGTTTTAATTAAGGTTCTACAATCCCTTATCCTGGTTGTTATTTACATGACAGTTTAAGAAACTGGTGCAATTGTTGGTTATTTAATATATGTTATGTTAATATATCTAATTAAAGAACATTCTGACTGTGACTGCCATGGTGCCTCCATCCTGCTTGGCTGTCTACTCCAGGTTTTGTTCTTTGTCTGTTTTTCTCTTAGTATTTAATGTTTCTCCTTCTTGTTTCTCTGTGCTTGTTTTTTATGTTTATATTTGTTGGCGAGATTCATCACATCTTGCTGAGGCTAAGGCTCTGTTTTTATTGGACCTGCCAATCATCTCTGACAGAACAATACAACCACAAAAATGGACTGAGCTGACTCTTGTGAGCTGTGCTTTCACTTCAAAGGAAGTGGACTGGCATGAGCAAATGCTCCGCCACATTATTGGCGAACCATGATCGCTGAAGAAATCGCAGAGGTAAAAGGTAGTAAAAAGGTATGGTTAATCCACCATTTTCAGCCTCTATCCCCTCACCTCCTCAGATCAGAGAACTGACTGTCTCTCCACTCCCGAGGTGTTCAAGGGTGAGTTTAGCAAATGTGCTGGATTTCTTACACATAGAGTTTGCTAGTATTCAAACAAAAAAGGGCATATGAGTCAGATTGTTCCAAGATTGCTTTTTTTGTGGAGATATTTTAAGACCAGGTGCTAAAATGGGCACAGGCTGTGCTAAAAGCAAGCCCCATTCTTTCTTTTGAAGATTTCATTCCTAAATTTCGGAATGTTTTTGAGTCTAACCCTGATGTTGGCTGCTCATCAAGTAAATTTGCAATGTGTAAAAATTGATGACCATGTCCGCAAACACAGGTGAAAATTTAACTTTCCCAGAATGCTCCTGGCTCTTATTCTCCCCCGCACTAACAATGTCCCAATAATGTCCCTCTGTAAAGTATTTTAAGTCATGGCCCTGGATGGAAAAGGACCTCCCTGATATCACACAAGACTCAGACTGTCTCACTCACTCTCTCTGGCAACCACACTGAAGATGTGAGCTTCTATGTGTTTGAAGCCCTTCTTACTCCTCTGGTCCTTGGTCATCCCTGGTTACGTAATCATAATGATTACGTAACCAGGGATGACCAAGGATTCAAGGTTACTTTATTTATACCTGTAAGTAAATTTGCTTTACAGGAAAATGATAGCATTTGGCATCCCTTTGCATCTCTTTAATTGGATAAAATTATATTTTGGGGGGCTGAAAAAAGCTTTGTTTCATGTTGACAATGTTTCTCCACAATGTAAGTGGGGGTGACCTCAAACCCTTAAGTACAAGCTGTAATTGATTGGCCTATCAATAAGAATCACAAGCAGTTGTGTTGCTTTGGTTTTTCTTTGGTTCATCTGTGACTTCAGTAAGCAAGTCCTCCCACTAATGCAACTTGCCTTCTGTTCCAGTGGTCACCATTGGCTCAGTGTGCCTTTGATCTTCTCAAGCAACGCGTCATATCTGTCCCCATCTTGTCTCAACCTGACCTCACGCAACAGTTCATTGTGGAGGTGGATGTGTTCTACTGCTGTGTGGAAGCTGTCCTATTGCAAAACAAAGAAGGTAAAAAGCGTCCCTGTGCCTTTTTCTCTTGTTCTCTCTTCCCAGCTAAACAGAATTATAATGTTAGATATCAAGAACTGCTGGCCAGCAAACTCGCCCTAGAGGAATTGAGGTGCTGGTTGAAAGGGTCAGGACATACATTCATCATGTGGACTGACCACATGAACCTTGCATACCTCCAGACAGCATAAAGGCTTAATACTGAGCAAGTCAGGTGGGCTCTGTTTTCCACTCAGTTTAACTTCACCATAACTTACTGACATTCCTCACAAAACATCAGACCACTTTCCTGGCAATTCTCCACTTTTGACAAAACCCCTGACAAATCAACCATGGTCCGTGCTTTCTGAATGATTGGATCCCTTATCTGGTAAATTGAATCAGCCCAGCAAACAAAACCAGACCATGGCAACAGTCGTCCTGGTCGCCTCTATGTGCTTGCTTTGATTTCAGTCTAAGGTAATTCAATGGGCATACCAGAGGTCCCAGTTCACATCTCAAGTTTGGTGTGAATTCTGCTCTGCTCTCTGAGCCAAGGTTGGCCTGCCTTCATCCTCATACTAACAGACAAGCACAACGTACCAACATTTGGAGCTCCCACCTGGCTTGGTGGAGTATGCCCATGATGTCATGACATGCCATAGAAGGTGAGCTTGTCGTATGGCATAATCTATGCAGTTGGCACTGCCACTGGAAGGCTACCTATGCTATCCTGCTAAGGACCATGGAGCAAAATAAACGTCTTACCAATCGCAATAGAATCCCAGTGCCGGTCTACTGTCCTGTACTACGTGGGACTGGAAGAAGGGCAACTTTCATATTCTACACAGTGAGTCTTCCTTGGCTTGCACATCAAGGTTTTGTTTTTTGTCTAGCTCTCCCTTGTGTTTCCCCTCTCTCCTCTTTTTACGGGTTCCCAACTCTGGCCAGGCACACCTGCTCTAATCACCCACATGTTTATCAAGAATCCACTACTTAAGGTAGTGGATGAGGATAACTCTTTGTTTGGTAATTGGGCTAATCGGTTAGCTGAAACCCTGGCTCCTGCTACTCTGTTTTTGCTCGGATTTTGACTGTCTGTTTCCTGTGCACAGACCCCTGGATTTCCTTCCCTGGTGTGGTGCGCTTAATCCTCAGTTGAAAGGGAGTGTGAACTGTAAATTTTGGATGTGTTGATTCGCTTTGTTCCTGGACTATTTCCCTTTTCTTGTCTTACTGAACTGTGATCTCCCGAGCGCTGTGCTAAAGTCTACCATCCTATTAGCCTTGACAATGGTCAATCCACACTATCCATCCATCCATCCATTCGCTTCCGCTTATCCTTTTCAGGGTCGCGGGGGGCGCTGGAGCCTATCCCAGCTGTCATGGGGCGAAAGGCAGGGTACACCCTGGACAGGTCGCCAGTCTGTCGCAGGGCTAACACATAGGGACAGACAACCATTCGCACTCTCATTCACTCGCACATTCGGATTATCCAATTAACCTATCCCCACAAGCTGCATGTCTTTGGACGGTGGGAGGAAGCCGGAGTACCCGGAGAGAACCCACGCAAACACGGGGAGAACATGCAAACTCCACACAGAAAGACCCCGGCCTGATGGTGGAATTGAACTCAGGACCTTCTTGCTGTGCGGCAACAGTGCTAACCACCGTGCCACCGTGCTGCCCGTGCAATCCACACTAATACTTTCTAAAACGATGTCTCAAAGAAAAATATTTTCGGATTAAAAGTTTTAGATATAAAACATCCACGTACATATATTTCAGATGACCATTCCTCAAGTGGGTAAATCTCCACAAGATGTAAGCGCTAGCATAGATAACAAAGATATTGAGAAAGTCTAATTTGAATTAACAAACAGTAGTCAAGGATGTTTTGTGTTCCAGATAATGACCATGTAATGAACTGTTTACATATAAATATGAATAAACAATTAACACATTCTGAACCATATGCATGATTTGATTTGTTGGATCAAGCAAAGTTTAAAGTTTAAATTTTTCTGCCACACTGGATTTGACGTTTTTGTTTTGACAAACATTAACTTTTTTTAGTCACAAATGTATTTCCCAGTATTTATCAGTAGGCAGGGATGATTGTCTCATCAAGCCTCACAAAATGATGTTTTCTGAACATGTGTCACAGCCAATCAAAGTGATTTTGCAACAGCTGAACACTAGGGAATGCTAGTATCCAACCTGCACAGATCTAATAGCTTTGGAAATACTTGTTAAGATGGTGTTTGTTATATCACAGAAGAGTTGAGCATTGGCTTTGGTCTGCAATCTCAGAGAACCATTCTAGCTGAGTTGTTTTGTGCTAAGCTGTTACATATTTCTGCTTTTTTTCTATATTTGTAATGATATTTTGTGGACAAAGATTTAATATGAACATCAAAAATGCAAAAATGTATTCTGTGTGTTGAATATTGACACAGGATGGAAGGATTTAGACTGCATACTTGTAAAGTGGTCCTTAATGTAGCTAAAGGAAAACCACCCACAATTCTTGGGAGTCACTACGATGCAGTTTATCAAGTCAGGACAAACATTAAAGGAAGTAGACTTACGCTGTGATGGAAATGTTAGCAGCTGACATGGGGCTGACTTCCTTTACCTCCTTGGCCTTCTGGAGGGCAAGTTTCTTATTAATAGCCTCCTCTTGCTCCTCTTCATCCTATAGGTATAGAAAAAAACATACATGGACACATATTTTAACTTGTGTTTATTTCAGGACTATAATAAATAACAAGTTGTCACTCAATACACTGAGAAGTCCTTTATAATATATTTATTTTACTGTGACCATTGTTGATAGAAGGTCCACTATTAAAGAACAAGGCAAATTTAAGTCTAGCAGGAGCATTCAGAATATGGATATATTATAAGGGTAAAATCACTGAAGATTACGAGGTTCTTTTTTCTTTTGCCAAAACCTGGGCTTGCCATCTTAGGGCATTTTGACATCAATAGCATCTTTAGTCTGTTCCAAATCACTTTTCCTCACCTTTTACATGTAATCTGGTTTTCTTTCACACAGACAAAAATCGAACACATGGCACAAAGAGATAAAAGGACAAGTTTGATCTAAACGGACTAAACACCAACAGTGTGAAAACACCCTTAATTAAACCTCTGAGGTCTAAGCCACCTATTGATGACACCAGCCTTCACCCTAATTCTAACTCTAACCCCCAACAATAAGAATATATCATTTTTTGTCATATTAAATAGTGAAGTTCTGGCAATCAGGGACAAATAGATAATTCAAACTGAAACCTTTCCCTTTTAATTATTAAAAAAATCTATCTTGCCTTTCTTCTAAATATAGCATAGGTTTAGACCTTAGTTAAAATCAGAATTGTGTTTGTTTGTTTGTTTGTTTGTTTTACATCAAAAGCTTTAGGAATGATGATAAAAACAGAATAATTTTATAATATAGAATAATAAAGATTTTTTTTCATTTTTGTGACAAAAAATTAATATTTCATAAAAAAAATCTTTATTTCATGAGCAAATATCACAAGCTATACCACAAAACAAAACTAAAAGTAAATATTGCAACCCAAATAGAACTAAATTCTAAATTTCTACTCAATTACTACTCAAGTTAGCTAAATATATGCATGTGTTTCATTTTCAAGACCTGCTTTAAATGGCTACATTTTGACAAGCGCAGCCCCGGAAGATTCTGAAAACTCTGGTTAAAATTTAGAAGCAAGATATGCATATATTTAACAAAATTATTTTCTCAGTTATAACTAGAAAACTATAACATTAACTATTTCACATTATGTATGAAAAAATGAAAGTGGGTCAACCGACCTTTGTTTAAATACATATGTTGAAAAGTATTTGATATATGAAGCTAAGTTTTCAGAAGTATCATTAGTATATTATATATCTAACAGGATAACTTGAATCATAACATTATAGTGAATATGGTTTAACAGAAAATGATAACTGTGAAGATTATCAAAAAATGATCATTTGAAATGAAAATAAAAAATATGCACATTAACTAAATTAATTAATTATCTCTAAGGGAGAGGCCAGCCACCCTTCGGAGGAAGCTCATTTCTGCCGCTTGTATCCGCGATCTCGTTCTTTCAGTCACTACCCACAGCTCGTGGCCATAGGTGAGGGTAGGGACGTAGATCGACCGGTAAATTGAGAGCTTCGCTTTTACACTCAGCTCCCTCTTCACC